ATTTTTTTTTAAAAAGAAGTCTTTTGCTTCTGGCCCAGAGTGTAGCCCTAAGAGGTGGGCTTCTCTTGCTGGCAAACTCTCCTGCTCTGGAAGGTTCTCACGTGATCAGGTACAGCTTGGGACACCATGACCAGGTGGGCACGAGTTACGGCCACAGCTAACAAGAGACCCTTGGCAGCAGCACCATGGCAGGATATGAAGAAGGGACCCAATGACGGAGGAAGTCAAAGCCAAGCCAAGGGGAAATCATTTGAAGCCCATGGACTGTCCCTGAAAAATGACACACGCCAAACAAAACACAAAAAGAACAAAGAGTACTTAAATGAAGATGTGAACGGGTTCCTGGAATACCTAGGGCAGAGCTCACAGGTGGCTCACAAGGGGGAGAGGGGAGCAGCTGTCAGTGCGGAAATCAGGGAAGACATTGCACCTGCTCTAAAGAAAGACAGTCAGAGGGAAGGAAGAAGATTAAAAAGGCAAACAGCAAAGAAAAATGCAATGGTCTGTTTCCATCGCAGACTGCCCATCTGTCCCTGACACGCAAGATACAGGCACTGGAAGAGGTTATCCTTGCGGGTCCACAGAGCGCAAAATAACTAAGTGCAAAGCTAAAGTGGCCATAGCTCTTGGTGAATTTCCTTTTGCAAAATGTTTCGTGTGTGGGGAGATGGGGCACCTGTCCAGATCTTGTCCTGAGAACCCCAAAGGCGTCTCTGCTGATGGTGGTGGCTGCAGACTTTGTGGCTCCGTGCAACACTATCAGAAAGACTGCCCAGAAACGAAGAACTCCGATCGAGCGGTCACGGTTGGTCGCTGGGAAAAGGGAATGAGTGCAGACCACGAAGACGTTTTGGATGCTCCCAAGCTACAGGCGCCCAAAATCAGGTTGCCCAAAGTTGTTCATTTCTGAACATGTCTGCTTCCCCAGAGGGAGCTGGGCTTCCTGGGAGGCCCGTGTGATCCGGTCACGGCCAAGCCTCGTTTCCTGGGTTTGGCCAGCCAAGGAGGACCTTCTTCCACTGTTGGGGAACACCCCTGAAAAAAGTCCTCGATCTTTACATGAACTTCTCATCTTCCAAGGAGCAGCTGGTCGTTCCGAACTACTGACTTTGTAGTTAGCAGACCAACCACTACGCCAAGGCTTCTTGGAGACATGAACTTCTCCAAAACACCACGAACACACGGAACCTGGGTATACCGAGGCTGTTACGTGCCTGATTTTAACAATCCCCTTTTCTTAAAAATAATCATGCATTAATGCAAACCACTGTAAACAAAAGGTGTATTTGCCTTTGAAGATCAACTTCTCTCATACTGTTTTCTTCAAAATAGAAATCTTATTTTATTATGACAATAGAAATGTATTTAAAATGGCCACAAAATTGCTGCATTTTTACAATATGGAATAAAAAGTCATTTACTTGGGGGGAAAAAAGTCTTTTTTTTTTTGGCTCGGTGCAATCTGTCCTTTGGTTTCTGGGCTGCTGCTTCCACGGGTGTTGAGCGTGGATCCAAGTAACGTGAAATCCTCGACAGCTTTATTCTTTGCTCTGTTGATCATGATGCTGCTTATTGGTCTAGCGGCGAGTATTTTGTCTTTTTTATGTTGAGTTGTAATCCTCACTGACCGCTGTGGCCTTTGGTCTTCTTCAGTCAGTGCTTCAAGCCCTCTTGACTTTCAGCAAGTACAGATGCGCCATCTACAAATGACAAGTTAATGGGTCTTCTTCTAATCCTGATACAGTGTTCTTCTTCATAGAACCAAGTTCATTCGCTGAGCATACTGAGGAAGTACGTGTGGTGAAAGGATACAATGCTCACGCGGAGTCAGGGGCCCAGGAATCAGCACTGTGCTTTATGGGCCGCAGCGTGAGTGCTGGTCAACATAATACTGAATCAGGAATCCGGTTATCACCGGGATCTTAATTCAGGCTAGACTTGTGAATGTCAGTAAGAGATTAAGTCTCACAACTTCAGGTTTCTCACTTGTAAATTGAGGGTTTGGGTAGTGATTTTTAAACTCTGGTCAGTGGCCCTCCTCTGAGGTAGTGGCAGGGGAGGGGAAGACTTCCTTTCCCACAGGGAGGACTTGCTTTTATTAATTAACATTAATTAGGCTTCTCTGTAACATGTTAAAGAGAGTGTTCATTAGAAAAATTCACGCACACACACACACACACACACACACACACACTTTGAAAATAATTTACTTAAAAATTCTCTCAGATCTCTTTCAGATCTAGCATTCTCCAAGTCTTCTAGTAGTAGAGTCTGCAACAGAACTTGAAAAGTGGTGGCCCACGTGGGACCTGCCCCGAGGACTTCTGTGCCCCCTAGAGGATTTTAAAGATGTCGATGGATTTGCCAAAACTTAAAAATAGGGAGATTTTGCATTAAAATTCCAGCTTCTCCTTTATTATGAAAATCGGAAATACCTGAGCCTTCCGTGTCTAGACTCCCAAAGGTATTGCGGGGTACCTGCTCTCTAACTGCCCCTTATCCTATCCTCTTGAATGTACCTGCCTGCCCTCTGGAGACATGGACTTCTGTCCCGCAAACTGCATGAATGTCACATTATTGGATGGGCCGATGCTGATACCCTGGAAGAATGAAAGGGAACGACTTGTGGTGCTTACTTTTTAAGAACGTGCCTGCCGTTGAAGGGGGTGCTTGTTTGGAAGCGTGATCATGCCTGTGAGAACAGTTTTCTGAATTGCAAGAAATGAACATCGTCCATTTTCACTTTCTCCATCAGAAGCTAATGGTTAGATGTTCAAACACTTTAGGAGCTGGGCTTATTTGGGACCCACACACGGAATCCCACGACCACTGTGTCGATTGCAACTCACGACGCCCCTGTACAAGTACAGACGCAAACTGCTCCTTTGGGTTTCCGAGGCTCAATATGAAGGGGAGAAAACAGCTCTATCTTCTGGGGAGCGACTTCGAACGCCCCACCTTGCCCAATGCTTAGACCACTGTGCCAGTAACCAAAACGGTTGTGTGCCATCAAGCCGTTTCCAACCCAGAGCAATCCTGTGTGACAGAGTAGAACTACTCTGAAAGATTTCCTTGGCTGTAATCTTTATGGGAGCCAGTCGCCAGATCTTTTCTTCTGTGGAACCACTGGTGGGTTCGAATCTCTGACCTTTCAGTTAGCAGTTAAGTGCTTAACCACTGAGTCATGAGCCCGTGCTGTCCGTTTCCTGTGTCAGGTCCAGTGGAGGACACTGAATACAGGACACTGGGGATAATGCTGGGCTTTTCGCTGCCCAACAAACACTCCTGCTGGGGCAAAGGGCCGCATCTCAGAGCGTCGTTCATGTAGAGAGATGTATGGTATGCTGCTCACGGTGGCCCCATCGGTTCCCCCCCTCTCCTTGCCCTCCTCTTCCTCGGGCAGAGTGAGCTCACCCTGGTCCAGCATCCTCCAAAGCTGTAATGGTTGGGCGTGAGGTTCTGTGTGTGCCCTTTAAATCAGACTGGTTAATTGCAGTCTTCTAACCAGATCTGTTTACTCACTAATTTCTTGGTCTGCCTTTGACCTTTCATTTAGTAAGAAGATGTGCCGAAGCCTCTCATTACCATCCTGGAACTGTCCATTTCTCCTTGGGTTGCCAGCCTCTGCTTTATGCATCTGAAGAGTATGTGGCTGGGGATAGACGGTGCTCAGCACTGCGTCCGAAGGTGTCGTTGTTACCATGCCTTTGAGCCCTGAGCCTTAGATGGCAGAGGAACACTGTTACGTAGTCACTGGGACAGACCATGGGAAGCAGAAGCCCCCCCCTTCTCTTCATCGCTCAGCCATTTCTCCGGGGGCCCTTCACTGGTGACGCCTCTGCCCCACCTTCGCCCTCATGTCAGTGGCATTTGGAGAGGAAGGGCGCTCACCTTGATTTGGTGCCGTCCCCTTGAAGCTGACTCTTCATTTTCTCGTACTCTACCTGCTCTGATCGGGTCTTGTCACTCAGTTATTTCAATGATCATTTTCAGACTGATTTCTTCCAACTTGAAGTGCTTAACCTAATATCATCTCCCGTGTTCCTTTTATCCTGGCGGGTTAGCACCTTCGTGCTCTCTCTCTCTCTCTCTCTCTCTCTCTCTGTAAGGAAGAGAAGGAGATAAACATATGTAGTCCAACAACCATTTTGCCCAGAATCTACCCAAACGCTGAATTGTAGTCATCACCATTACTAACATTTATTGAGTGCTTACTTAGTAACTCAGTTTTCCCAACAGTCTTAAGAGGCAAATACTCTCATTATTCCCACTTGACAAATGAAGAAGCCAACACAAGGAGAAATTAAATCACTTGACCCAAAGTTAGACACCCAGGAAGTGGGGAGCCAGGATTCAAACTCCAGCTGTCGGACTCTCAAGTCACTTCCTGCGTCAAAGCCTCCAGTAGTGCCCCACTCCTCTCTAATGAAACCCCGGTGACTCGGCCTACTGTTTGAGCTTTTAGACTCGTGTCCAGTCTCATCTCCCTTTTTGCCCCTGCCCCCACCTTTGTGGGCTCAGAGTCTCTTGTCCTGAATGCACCAGGTTCTCACCACCCCTGTGCCTTTTCCCTGGGGGCCCCCTCACTGCCCGACTCCTTTGTCTTCTGGCATCCACAGGACAGTGTTGATTTTTGCAGCATGTCCTTGGACATGGAGTTATTTGAGGAATTGACTGAACCTAGTAAGCAAGTCATCCCTTTGCTTTGTTTGGATTTAGCACATCTTCTTGAGAAATGTGTGATCGGTCAAATCCTAGGGCTCCTTTGTGTCGGGAGCATTCGCAAGTCTAACCGAGGGAGCAGCATCCTTTCCTCCCAAGTTGATTGTATGGAGGAGGAGGACAGGGAAAGGGAAGTTTACACAGTAAATGAAGCCACTTCATTCCTTGGCTAGTGAAATATTTTCCTACCTGATCGTGCTGTTTTACTTTATAGGACTTTCTCACTCTTGCAAATGTGGAATGCTCCCTGGACGTCGAAACTTTCCTTTGCAACGCTTTCGTCCCAAGCTGCACAGAACCGCTTCAGGTGACCCTACCTTGTCGGGAACTTTGTGAGAAAGTATATTCTGATTGCAAGAAAGTGATCGACACTTTTGGCATCCAGTGGCCTGAGGAACTTGAGTGTAACAGGTAAATTAGGCTTTTGACAAAAAGCTGTTGGTGGTATTTTAACATTGGTGGGGTCCCCAAAATGCGAGTGACAGACATACTTCAACAGACGTTTGCTACGTACCTGATGTGTTGGGAACACAATGGTGAGCAAAAACAGATGTGATTCTTTCAGGGAACTTACAGTGTGGTGGGAGAGATGGATCATAACCAAATTGCCACATAAGTAAATGCAAATTTATAACTGGTAGGTCAAACGTGTTCTGTGAGAACATGCCATGGTACATGTGACCTACAGTGGGGACAGGGAAGACGAGCCTCTGGGAATGACTCTTGAAGTCAAGTCTGAGCAAGACCACACTGACTAGAGAGTGGGGACGAGAAAGCGTTTCAGGCAGAGGGGCTGGCTTCTTCAGAGGCTCCAGTGGCAGAAGAAAACGTGGCTAGTAAGGGAATGGAAGGACCAGCATGGCTGGAGTGGTGTGAGGAGGAGCGTGGGCCAGGTAGGGAAGGCCCCGGGCCAGTAGAACATGTCTCTATGCCAAGGCAATGAGAAGCTCCTGGACTCCCTGATGGCCGTGACCTCGGCTGGGGGCCCTGGGGAAGAGGTGACCCTGTGTTTGCTCCAATGTATAGAGCGTGTTCTCACGTCACCGTCTGGTGAAAGTTGTTGTTTTCTATCCCTGAGAAATCTCATTGTCCTCATTTCTATTAATGAGCCTCTTGCGGTTTGACAGTATATATCCTCTTACTTTGGAAGCACAGAAAGAGAAAGAAGCTTCCGGTTGAAATGCTCCTTCTCGCCTCATGACAGATTTGGCATGACGCAGTGTTGTGCGTACAGCATCTAGCTGTGCAGTAAAATCACAGAAGGGTCACTGTTTGAGAAGCCATTCGTTGCTGTGGCCATGGCCCACCTGGAAGTCGGGGCTCCCCAGAAGGGTGCCGTGGCCTTCCCGCGCCTCAGCCTTGGAAGTGAGGCAGCAGGCTCATTCATTCTCATATTTACTTCGGCCGTTCTCAGCTTGTCACCGCGCCCTTTCACACGGGCGCTTGATGGCAGATCGGCTTTCTTTCCAGCTCTGGGCCCAGCTCTGATAGTTTGCCAACAGCTAGCTGGCTTATTGCGTCCCGTGGTGACCTATTGTATTCCTTTGTGCTCATTTCTCCTTTGTCTACAGCAATGCGAGCTCGCAGCCTACTCGCGGGCCTAGGGAATGGTCACCCTTCCTGGATTCAGTTCCGTCTCTTTCAGTTCTCGGTCTTTCTTTAGATAATCCACCTCTTGCCCCCGAAGGTACCTTTGCTTTGCTTTCGTGATGATGTGTAGGCCAGCCCTAACCGGCACTCCCTTTAGCTTTGTCTGTCTCCCTGCCAGTTACCAACGCATAGGTCAGTCCTTTCGAGTTGAGCCGTGTGGCATTCAAATACAAATGTTGAAGTCATGCACTTAATTTGTCTAATCTCTACAGACTACAGTACTGTGATGGGATGAGTCCTGTGACCTTTGACCTACCCATAAAGCTTCCTGGCCCCAAAGAGAAGAAGAATGAACAAGCCCCAAGAGACATCGGGTTTTGGTGTCCGAGGCATCTCAAGACTTCCGTGGGACAAGGCTACAAGTTCCTGGGGCTTGACCACTGTGCGCCCCCGTGCCCCAACATGTATTTCCAAAGTGCAGAGCTCGAGTTTGCAAGAAGTTTTATTGGGACGGTTTCCATCGTCTGCCTGTGTGCAACCCTGTTCACCTTCCTGACCTTTTTAATCGATGTCACAAGATTTAGATACCCGGAGAGGCCCATCATCTATTACTCTGTGTGCTACAGCATTGTATCGCTTATGTACTTCGTCGGCTTTTTGCTAGGCAACCACACAGCCTGTAACAAGGCGGACGAGAAGCTAACGCTGGGTGACACCGTTGTTCTGGGCTCTCAGAATAAGGCTTGCAGTGTGCTGTTTATGTTTTTGTATTTCTTCACCATGGCTGGCACGGTGTGGTGGGTGATCCTCACCATCACTTGGTTCCTGGCTGCAGGCAGGAAATGGAGCTGCGAAGCCATTGAACAGAAAGCAGTGTGGTTCCATGCGGTCGCCTGGGGAATACCGGGTTTTCTAACCGTGATGCTGCTTGCTATGAACAAAGTGGAAGGAGACAATATCAGCGGCGTTTGCTTTGTTGGCCTTTATGACCTGGACGCCTCGCACTACTTTGTCCTCTTGCCTCTGTGCATTTGTGTGTTCCTTGGGCTGTCTCTGCTTTTAGCCGGAATTATTTCTTTGAATCATGTCCGCCAAGTTATACAACGGAATGGCCGAAACCAACAGAAACTAAAGAAGTTCATGATTCGGATTGGCGTCTTCAGCGGCCTGTATCTTGTACCATTAGTGTCACTTCTTGGATGCTACATCTATGAGCAAGTGAATAGAGCGACCTGGGAGATCACGTGGGTCTCTGATCACTGTCAAGAGTACCACATCCCATGCCCGTATCAGGTAAAGCTAGCACCTGGGTTATTTGACTCTAATTTTCACCTAGAAAATGTTCCCTAGAAATCCCTTTCCCAGTCATGGATATACAGTTAGGTTGGAGGTGAGAATATAGTGTAGGCATCAGCTGGCACTGAGGAAGATGCCTCACTGGTCCTTGCTCGAGGTTTAATGCCTTCTTCGGGTCTTCTCTTACAAGGTGAGGAGCAGGGACAGGTGCCTGGTAGGAGTGAGGAGCAGAGCCCAGAGGATATGCCACAAGCAGGGGCAGAGGGAGGAGAGAGGTGACTGCATTGGGGATTGTTTTTCATTCTTGTGTGCTTCTTGTTTTTATTTCTTTGAAATAAAAAAGAATAGGCCTTAGCTGGACATATTCAGTTAGGTCTTTATTATATTAGAATTCTTACATCGTTTATACAATGTTATTGCATTGCTATAAAACAGACCTTGATTTTTTTTTTTGCCTAAACCATTCTGTCATTTCTTAACCAAAAATAAAAAATGTTTAGAGACAAAATACGAAAAGAAAAATGATAATGTATTCGAAGGTGAAATGAGAAAATAATTTAAAAATGTACCATGACTTGATAAATATAAGGTTCAGAAACCATAAAAGATTGCTAAACTTGACTGAGTTAAAAAAAAAAAAAAGTAAACATTTTAACAATCCCATCATTAAAAAGCCACAACTGGGGAAATGTACTAGCCACTCATTTTGCAGTCGGAGGACTAATGTCTTTAATGTATCAAAAACACCTAGCATTAATAAATGCAAAAAAAATGAATATAAAAATGGGGAAAGAATATGAAGATGCACAAAAGCAAATCAAAAGACTTTTCTTGTGCATGTGAACAGGTGTGATAGTGAAAGAAAAGAGAAGTATAAGGAAATCCTTGTGGAAAAACAAGTCTAAAGGTTTTCAGTCCCCTGTGTTAAAGTGCAGTACACTCGACCTTCTCAGATTTGTCCATTGAGAACTTCAATTAGGACACCCTTTCTTGGAAAGCAAATTGACAGTATCTGTTTAAAAATGTAGATAACCCTTTTTTCTGCCATTTTGGGAATTTATCAACTGATTTACCCATGAGTATATGAGAATTTACGTATATACCAAGATAGCCTCTGTAACATTATTTGCAATGGCAGTTGATTCAAAGTTAAGTATTCTCAATACTAGCAATAGTTCGATTATGGTTCATATGTAGAACGAAATACTAGGCATTCTTTAAAAATAATAAAGAGTTGTATTTGTTCTGATATAAAATGGTCTCCAAGAAATATGATTGTGCTCAAAGCAAGATACAGTGGACAGTGGAGAGTTCTTTGATATTTGTGCAACATTTAAAAAGTAATGTATGAAAACTTATGCCTGAAGAAAAAGTATGATTTCGTTATTAGATTTCCACATTTGAGGGGAACACTGATACTTTAACTAACCAAGTTTTAAGCATAGGGTCTAAAGCAGGATGTTCTTAAAATGAGTTTAAATGTAGTTTTTCTATGTTTGTGGTGGATTATGAAGGGAAATTGATACTATCTAGAGCAGCATTCTCAACCTGTGGGTTGCGACCCCTTTGGGGGTCGAACGACCTTTTACAGTGATAAAGTAGCAACGAAAATCATCTTCTGGTTTGGGGGGGGGGTCACCACCACATGAGGAACTGTATGAAAGGGCCATTGCCTGAGGAAGGTTGAGAACCACGGCTCTGGAGTAAGGTGACTAGACATCCCACTTTTGGCGGGACAGTCCCGATTTTTGGAAAGAATGCATGACAAGCTAGGGAATGGTCTATTTGGTCCATATAGATCAAATTTTTAAACAAGAACACCCCCCCACCCACCCCCCACGGTCAATGGTGTCCCACTTTAAATCTGATCACCTATGATTAGAGGCACATGGTTCAGCAATGTTAAGATACTGATTTATCTCTGAGGGAAAATGCCCAGAAGTCAACATTTCAGCATCTCTCCCTTTTCCAGTTCTGTACAGGGACAGGTACCTTGATACACAGGTAAAGGCTCTGTGCTAGTTGTTCAGCAAAGAAAGTACCTCATTTAAAGCACTGATTACAGGACAGTATGTGAAGCCTCTAGAAGTAAGCTGACTTCGCAAATTGATGCTCTTTGTTCAAGTTGTACGTTTACTGTACCGACTTTTTGCTCTTATGTAAACATAGTGGTGCAATTGTTATTACTCACCTTTTTTGTTTGTTTGTTTGTTTAATTTTGGGGCAGGCAAATAAGAAAAGAGAAGCTCGACCAGATTTGGCCTTATTTCTGATGAAGTATCTGATGACGTTAATTGTTGGCATCTCTGCCGTCTTCTGGGTTGGAAGCAAAAAGACCTGCACGGAATGGGCTGGGTTTTGTAAACGCAATCGAGAGCGCAAGACAGAGTAAGAACCCATTGAATTCTCTGAGGTTGCTTTAAAATTAACAGATCAAATATCAGGGAACTAGTCAAGTGATCATTGTGCTGGAGTGTCATTCTGTCAACCAGTGCTTGAATAGGACGAGCCACATAATCTTTTTTGAAATCTTCTTCATCAAGAGAGAGGCTTGATTTTGGCATTTTGTCAGAACAGTGCCATGCACTATTCCATTTAGTATTGTCATTTAATTTATTATTTGGAGTGGTGTTTTAGTAGTTTTCTCGTGTGTATCCATAATATGAGGATTAAATGGACTCACTATCGCAGCATAGCTGTAAAGTACAATGTACTGGAAGGGATGTGTTCCAATCTCTGTGTAAAGCTTGTTAAGGAGCCCTGGTGCTGTACCACATTCATTATTGGACTGCTAACTGCAAGGTTGGCATCCAAACCTACCAGCTGTTCTGGAGCAGAAAGATGAGGCTCTCTGATCCCATAGAGACTGATAGGCTTGGAAACCCTATGGGACAGCAAGACCCTATCCTAAGAGCTGAATCAACTCCTTGGCAGTGGGCTTTTAAAGTCTGTTACACATTGTTCTGACCTAACCTTCACTTATTTGCCTTGCTAAAATAAGAAATTCAAATTCACAGACTATTCTGGAGCAATATACTCAATTTACACACTCATACGTGCTATTTCAGCTTTTTAATCTTGGATTCTAAAAAGTCAGCAGAGAACATTTACAAAAATACAGGGGAGAGGCAGTTAGCAAACAAAAGTAGAAGGTGTGTGTTATTTGTGCACAAATAGAATAAATAGTCCATCTTCGTTATTTACTTAGAGTATGTATAATGTGTTATCAACAAAATATGGTTTGAGAAACTCTTGCATTACTCTGATCAATGAATCTCTTGTGTAAATTTCAGGGTGATAGATTTTTTTTCACAAATAATTTTTGAGATCAGAAAAAGTAGGCTTCAGCTTTTTTGCACATCCTATTATTGTAAGTCTAACACACATTTGTGTGCTCACACTGAGGGTCAAGTGACTCTCTGACTTTAATGTTAGGAAGTAACTAAATTCAAACGCAGATGATTATATGCTGGGTTTTTTCTGTGCTGGCTGCCTTTCGAGGCAGGGTGGCTACCGTGAGTTTACTTATGGTTTTCCAAGGGCTGTCCATCGTGACAGCCCCTCTCTTTATGCCACTTTGGCTTCCTCGCCGTCATCATGCCACTTTGCCCACTTCATTTCTCCAAAGTCAGATTCTTTTTGCTGGCATTAGCAGCAATCTGCATGCACAAAGACTGCACCTTATGGCTCTCTACTGATAGCTTATAGAATGTATGACCTCAGCTTTTATGATTCATATAAATCTTATTGCATTTCTAACTTTAGTGCATATTGGTTTCCAGGCCCAAGTGGCATATTTTGTGGAACCCCTGACTGTACAGATGCTTGGGTGCTCTGCCACTCACTAAAAAGCCGACAGTTCAAACCCACCTAAGGGCACCTCAGAAAAAGGGCTGGTAACCTCCTTCCAACAAGGTCACACCATCCTGAGAACCCTCTGCAGTGTGTTTCTATTTTGCACATGGGCCACCAGGAGTGGGAATCCATTGGATGACGCCTGCTTTTGGTTTGTGTGTGTGCGCGCGTGCGCGCGCGCGTGCGGTTTCTTTGGTAACGGTGTTTATCTAGCAAATCGTTTTCTTGGGTTTTCTTACAGTTCCATCGCTGAAAGTCGAAAAGTCCTACAGGAGTCATGTGAGTATTTCTTGAAGCACAATTCTAAAGTCAAGCGCAAACGGAGGCACTGCAGGCCCGCTTCGCACAGGCTGAAAGTCATTTCCAAGTCCATGGGGACCAGCACGGGCGCCACGGCGAATCACGGCACGTCGGCCATAGCGATCACTAGCCAGGATTACTTAGGCCAAGAAACCATCCGAGAAACCTCTGCGGAATCGACGCTGAAAGGCGCAGACACAGACGGGAACAGCACTCCCAAATTAAGCAAAGGGGACTGTGGCCAGCCTTCTTCGGCAGCAGCTCCCAGCTCCAAAGGCCCCGGGGAGCAGGCTGACCAAACGGGCCAGACAGCGAGTGTGCACGAGAAGAGCAGTCCATCCGGAAGTGAGCAGAGCGAAAGGAGGTAGGAGCCCGTTTTCTCCCCTACAGGCATCACCGCTGGGCTGGTCCCATTGTACTTTTTCTCATGAAGGCAGCACAAACACATCTGGGAAGAAACCATTTGTGTGAGCAGACGATGTCGTGGGTACAGGCGTTCTCCATGTTCGTTAGGACATGTGGGCCCGCCCAGGGTCCCAAGGTGTCGCTTTGCAACGAGCCTTCGTGTCTGGCTATTGAAGGAGGGGGTGCTGCCCACTTCCATCCGAATCATTGAGGGTTGTTTGCTCATTGGTATACGTGTTTCAGCTCCATCTGAGAGGGAACCATCCAGTCGTCGTCAGAGCACCGTCTAAAAGATACTTGTCGTTTTATACAAAGGTGATTATCAAATATTCTGATTTCCAACCCCTATCAGGAATTTTCCCCAATGGTCCTAAGTGGATCAGAACACAGGCGAACGTGTCATTAAGCAGAATCACCCTACGGTCTCGGGGTGAGCTCCCCTGCCCTCCCTCACTGGGTTAAAAGCACTGCCTCGGTGTCCCCATCACCCCCTCTGTATGCTGGATTGTCATTCAGCCCCGGCACCAAACTCGTGGCTGTCCCGCCCTTTCCATCTCAGAGCAGCCCTAGAGGACAGGGTCAAACTACCCATGTGGGTTTCTGCAACGGTTGCTCTTTATAGGAGTAGAAAGCTTTGTCCTCCCGCAGAGCAACTGGGGGTTTTGAACTGCTAACTTTGTGGTGAGCTGCCCCACACCTAGCCTCGAGGCCACCAGGGCTCCTTGTGAAATAGACGCATGCTATTTTTTTCTCTCCTTGATTCCAACGTTTCTCAAAAGCACAGCTGAGGCCTCCCCTTCTTGAAACAGCTGCCTGACCCGGGGTGGGACAGCAATCAACTGTGTTAACCTGAGTGCAGGAGCCCCACCTCAGGAGACATCCTGCGTGGCCCTTGTGTGATGGTGCTGGGGAACGTTCCCGAAGTCAGCGAAAATGGTCCTGGATGATAAATTACTTGCATTTTGAAAGTTTTGAGCATACTTGAGGAGTTTCGTGAATGATCCTTGGATAACGGTGGAGAGAAGTCATAAGGACACCCAACACATAGGATTTGCACGTGTGTTTACATGTATGTCAACTTTCTTTCTTTATCTAGGCTCAGCCCCCAAAGTGAGCATGCTGGAACAGGCCCAGGCCCGAGCGGCAGCTTGCAGGTGCCCGGTGCTTCCCAGCCCAGCAGTCTCCAAGGCTCCACGACGACACTCCTTGCTCACCCAGCGCCAGGAGCTGGGACCGAGCAGGGGCCGGGCAGCCCCTCCCGAGCCTGAAGCAGCACTGACCACCTTTCTAGGAAGGAGATTCATGCCGCGCTGCCAGTGCCCCATGTACTGTCTTACAAGAATCCCCGTTACAGCCTTATTTTGCACTTACATTCCCACTGTCACACTGGCAAAACCAATTGATTCCAAGGAGAAGATGGTTCATTTCACAAGAGGTTAAGGAGAGCAGTACATCTGAATCGTGGCAATGTTACAGGTTAATCTTTTTTTTTTCTCTGATTGCGGGGCGGGGGGGTTGGGGGCAGGAGTTAGAAAGAACCTTTTTTTCTATTTATTGTTCAAAGTATTTTCGAGAGACCAGGCTCACAGGTCAGGAAAGAGACTGGAGGCACTGCCCAGGCTACTGCTCTTTTGATGACTTTCGGCCTTGGGATCGAAGCCGTTCCCGGAGGCCACCTTCCCACCAAACACAGGGCTGTGAGACAGCCACCGCCTCCACCATCGCCAGCGTGCAGCTCAGAGCCCAAGCTCAACGCCAGAAGGACCACATTCAACCACGCCAAAGAGGAGAAGACTGGGAGGGGCAGGCGAGCTTGACTGGTGGAAACAGGGCACGCAGGGAGGAAGTGGAGAGGCCTGCACTCATAATTGGGGAGTGCAGCCAAGGTCACAATTTGTATCTGAATTATTGATCGGAAGCTCACTACCTAAACTTTCACCAACGCACAGAAAGCATGGTCAGATGTCCCGTGCGATTTCACTGTAATGATTTACCACCACGGTTTTTCCTTCCCGAAATACTGACAGCTGGTCCTTGTTTTTGTGTATTTCAGAGTAAGTTTATATGTATATGAATTTTTCTAAAGGAACCCTGGGCAATGTTACATTCTGATATCTTAGTAGTACTTTGATAGCTTTTACACTGAGTTTCTTTTTTTTTTTACACTGAATTTCTAAAATAAAGAAAAATAGTACTTTTATAGTATAAAAAAATAGTTCTTATTACCAAAAGGTATTATGGTGGGAATTCAATGGGGAAAAAATGCAAAACCACTATTCTACCTTAAAAACCTTAGATGTGTGAATTTGATAAGCTGGGATGGTTTTAGAAATCTCCAAGATCTATTATTACGCAACTGGACTGAGGTGCTCGCTGTGATTCTCTTCTGCTGCTCACTGGCCCGTCTGCATTTTTGTAAATCCAGTGTCCCGAAGGATTAGTAGATGAAATGATTTAGTCTTTTCAAAATTAAGCTTTAGTGCAATTGATTTTTTTAATGGTTCAATGACCACTCAATATGATATCATGCCCTGTTACAGTTTGCTTATACTTTTGTTCTGCACATTAAGAGTAGTATAAATACTTTGTATTTGTGCACTATCTTTCCCAGACATGCATAGAACTCATTCCTGCAACTCAGGATTCTGATGACCATTTAAAAAGTGTGATAGTCATATTAATGTGCCAATCAAGTAGGGCAAACGATATATATATGTATATTTTCCTGGTAAAATATATTTTATACAACATCCTTAAATTTTTAAAGAATGTTCTTGATTTTATTTCCCAGTAAATATTTTTCCTTGAATTTTATTCCTTGATTAGTATTTTTCTGATGCTTTGATTTTTTTTTCTCTTTAGTATTCTGTTACTACATCATCATGTACTGTATGGGAAAAGTTATATTTTTCACATTTTTAAACAGATAATGTATACAAGGACTTGGTTTCATGTGGTCTTTTCAGGAATAAAATATTCTTTGTACAAGAGACTGTGGAGTATTAGTCTACAGTCAGGTGTGATTTCTTTGCTCAGTGTCCCCAGTGCTATGCAGCCAGAAGAATCTAGATTTAGGCTTTGCCATCTTCACCATCCCTACCTGTAGAACTCAGTCACATGAATTACTCTCACCAGATGGTGTGCTGCCGTCAGCTCTCTCAGTTTCCAAGTGTGCACCACCTCAAAGAGAAGTCCCGTACGCCACCAACAGTCACTGGCCCTCCCTCCTCCCACAGCTCCTGGGACTAAAGGTTTGTCTCCACATTTGCCTCTCCTAGATTTCATACTCGTGTGAGCGTACAGTAACTTTCCTTCTGTGCCCAGCTTTACTCGGCGTCATGTTTGGAAGGCTCATCCATGTTCTCCCATGTATCAGATTTAGCTCCTTTACATAGCTGAGTCAGGCAGGGTCCGTCATAGACCACATGTGATCCATCACTGGTTGATGGAGACTTGAGGTGTTTTTCATCATTTGTGTCCTATGAATGATGCTGCAGTGAACATGCTGCACACACACACCTGTCTGAGCCCCTACTGTTAATATTTGAGGTAAAGATCTAGGAGTATATCTGAGAGGATCACTGAGTCTGAATCGGCTTCATGGATCTCTAGGAGTGTGATGCGTCATGCGGTAATTCTGTTGTGTGTTTTAGAAACTGCCGAACTGTTTTCCACAGCGACTGTTCAGTGATACACAAAGATTCCAATTTCGCCACAGCCTTGTGTTAGGCCCAGTGGACTAGAGAAACAAATTCAGTGACACTCATATATGTGTAAGAAAGCTTTATATCAAGAAAACATCCCAACCCAGACCAACTCAAGTCCGTAAGTCTGATACCAGTCTGAAAGTCCCACTTCAGACTCATGCAGCCACATGCAACGATGCAGATCACAGGCCAGTGGGTGCAAAGTTGTGTGGATCCAGTGGTGGTGGGCACATCTCCAGGGCTCTGGCAGCAGCCAGGGTCCATCAACAGAAAGAAAAAGAAGGGCGAGGTCTCAGGGCCCTCCTTATGAGAAGGTCACACCCACAAGGAGGCACCATTAGG